AGAATAAAAACAAACCTTTCTAGCAAATCAACATGAATATTGAGAATTCAACATAAACACTATAGTTTATCTAAGAACAATCAGGTGATAGTTTTGTTGCTAAGCGACGATGTATATTGTTGAGCATTACCAAAAAAGGAGCGTGAAAGCGTTCTCGACAGAGTGACAAAGGGAATAAGCCTTTTATAGTTAGTGATGTTATTCTACAGAGGTTTAAATGTCAAAAATGTTATACTTTTTACCTACAAATATAACAAAAGGAAAGACAAGATGTTTTTTACATTTGTTATTTATTTATGTAATGCTGACTGAAGCGTAGTGCACATAATTACAAATAAATAAAACGACAGTGAACCCAATAGAAACTTACGAGTTGCTTTATTTGCTCAACGTTTCAGCTTTCCACCTTTATCATGAGCATACAATTTGAGTGATAGAGTTCATTACAGAAATTGTATGCTCTTGATGAAGACGTATAGCAGAAAAGTTGAATAAATAAAACAATTTGTAGAATTCTCTGGAGTTATATTTATTTATAATCTTTGTTTTTACTTGTTGAGAAAAGTTAGATAGTTACGTAGGATGGTGTGTCACTGATAACATTTCCTATTTAACTACATTTGTATGTGTAACGAACTACAAAGTTCTATTTATTGTCATCATTATCGTTTTTTCATTAGTCTATCTTTAAACAAGTAACAATGACGCTTGAGAAAAAAAAACTTGCTTCAGATTCTTTTCAGTGATTTCATTAAATGATGTTTTTACCTGAGCTAGACAAATTAACTAGCAGATATTAACTGAAAATACTGTAAAGTCTCTCATAGTTTTCCATTTTTGCTTCGTCGTATCAGTTTAGGCAAGTTTGAAGTCGTTTTTTTTTTTTTTGAGAATTAAATTTATAAGTAGCTCCATGTTATTACGCTATGTTCCCATTTGATACAGAAAGATATTATCGTTTATGAAAAATAAGAAATTTAGAGACTGGTGTCCCTTTCAACTCCTGTAGTTTATGATTTAAAATACTTTTTATTGATATTATTTCGTGGTGAGGTGCACTCGAAATAAATAAATTTTACCTCTTTTCTATCATCCAATTTTTACACAAGTTGTTTGACCACCAACGTAAAGAGATGACAAGTATATAGACTTTTTTTTTTTTGTATTACCTTTTTTTCGATATTTATTGTCCCTAGACAGTGAAAATTATTGCGTGGCTTTAAGAGAAAGCTCAAATGATAAATTGTTGAAGCGTGACGACCAAGGCAATGCATCATCGTTAAGTCGACGGGAAAATCGTTTGATATTTTGAGTAGGAAATAGTTTCTACACTCGGGGGCGCTGCATGCCGCAATTAGGATGTAACTAGTAGCTACGCGACGTTAACTTTGTGAAGAAAAGTAAATGAGTATCAGTGTTGTAAGCACTTTTACTGGCCCAACTTTTTAACCTAACATGACTACTTTAGCATTTCTTCTGTAATGCGGGTAGTTCGTAAGTAATAAATGAAACACATATATATATATATATATAAGTATTACATTAACAACTGAAATGGTGAGCTTTCCCTCATGTAGTTCGTAAGTAATAAATGAAACGTATATATATATATATATTTAGATATTACATTAACAACTGAAATGGTAAGCTTTCCCTCATGTTAGCCTTCGATTAGGCAGACTTTTGAACTATGCTTTCATACTCTATGTATAATGTCTTATTAACTTCTTTTTCTTCAATGGACACCGCCTCTATGGACCTCTTAGACCATCACCATGTGAATTTGGAATTCTGTACTACCAAGAAGAAAAATACCCCCTTAGAAACTCCCAAAACTTACCAGTTTCATGTAAGTAAAGAAATATAAAAACAAACTCTGTCTTTTATTTTTTATTACACATCTAAAAAATAAATCTAGAATTGGGAGAGTTGTTTATTTATAAACATGGCAGTAAAAGAATTAACCTAAAATGATATCAGTGTGAAGTAATGAACTTTAAACTCCAGTAATTGAGGAAAACTTCGAATCAAACGCAATGATCCGTTACTCTGAGTAGATTAATAGATACATATACATACATACGTAATATAGGCAGAGTAATAAAAATTGTGGTTTTAGCCGCTGGACAACAACTGAAAACTAAGTACTTAAGTAACGAAGTTATTCTATTCAGTTTTTGGAAAACCAGTACTTAAATTTGTAATTTTCCTGTTTGTTGTTAAGAGCACAGCTGCACCATAGGCTCTGTTTTATGCTTACCATGAGTACTTAAACTCGGGTTTTAATGTTATAAGCCTCGAGACTTACCGCTAAGCCACTCGAGGTGGCATAATTTTCCTGAAAGGTATTGAAATGAAGATTTTCATGGGATATTTATAAGTCTGGAATTTCTATTAACTACTTTATTAAATGACAATCTTTGCTGATTTTTACAATTTCATTGCCACCTTTGGACTTAATTAGAGAGTAGGTAAAATGATAATTAGAATACTGTCTAGCTTTAAAAAGAAAATGAAGCTCCAAACTAATCCTGTTACATACAAGTCAGGTTATTTATAGTTTTCGCGTAAAGCTGCACAAGCGCAATCTGCGCATAGCTGTCCTTAACTTTGAACTGACAGACTGGGGGAAGGCAGCAAGTCAACAACACCTAATTCCCAAATTTTGTACGACCAAGTAATAGGATTTTATACTCACTATTATTGAGCATCCAAGGCTCTTATGTGCACAGCGAGTTTTTGCAGCAACGAGACGCAAACCATGAACCCCCTGATTCACAATCCGAGGGCTCTTTACCCACTATGTTTATCATTACCAAGGAAACTATGGGTATAAATATGTTAAGAAAAACATACATTCAATATTCTACGCTATGTAGTAATATAATACAATAAGGGTGTCTTCTACCTTGGCAGACAACTAACCTTGCAAACAAAATTATAACTTGGAGAGTAATTTTTAATTACCAAAGTATTCTTATTCAAAACGTTTAGAAAAATTAATCTTCTTCAGTTTTATGGAGTTTTTAATTATCCTTTGAAACTTTTTCAGTAATTTTTATCAAACGAGCGTGCTCTCACCACTTTGTATCATTTTGATAGTCACGTGTATCGTGAAGTGTAACAAAGGTTTTGGTTTGAATTTTTCAGTTTTAGCGGAAATCAGTTCAAGATTATACAACTTAGTTTAAATAAACCCGTCCCAACATTTATCTGATTATATCAGTCACTGCTCGAGTTTCCTATGAATCAAAAACCCTAAATAAGTTCACTGAACCAAGAGTAGGTCGTTCTAAAACCTACGTAGCTTTACTTATTAAGCTATTTTTTGACAATTACCATTTATACTTCTGTAAAAATTGAAGAAATATACCAGGAATCTTTATCTTTGGTACTAAATTGGTAACACAGTTCCCTGTGTTAGTTGATAATGCCATTATATATTCGATTTTAAACTAGCATTCGGTAGATGATGAAAAAATAATGTAACAATGAAAAAAAACATGACTGTTAATTAAACTTTCTAAGGCAGTCAATTCAAGCGTCCAATGAAAAACGTGTTATTATGATTGCCCTCTGCGAGATACACGAGTTTTGAGTAGCACTTCGCTGAGCACTTTCTATATTCCAATAAACGTAACGTCGAAGGTTTGTTTCAAACTTAGTACAAGAGAGCTATGTTTGTGTGAAAGAACTCGAAACGGTAATGGAAATTTTGGTGGCATGTTACTGAAGTAAGTGTTTGTTTGCAATCTTAATATTTATCATGCGATTCTTTTATAGGTTTTCAAAAATCGTTGGATATATAATCAGTTTATTTTAACACTGAAACAAAAGACCACTGAAGCTCTAGAAAGTAGCATATTTATATTTGCTTTTTACAAGATAATGTGTGATACTAAATTTTGAAGCAAGCAACCACTTTATTCTATGAAGTTCGTGTTGAATAATTTGCATGTTTCATATTACAATGTTTACCAAACATGATGCTAAAATATAAACCAACAACTTAAAACATGAGAGTCAAACAACATTTTAATGAATCATGTGGTATATTACAACCAGTATTTTTTATGGTATAGCAATAACAACTATATTTCTCTTTACCCACCTACTCACTTCATAATTTTTTTCTCTTGAAAACATTGTGTATAGATAAAAAAATCCTTTTCCTCAAACGGTGTACATTACTATTTAAATACAATGTTAACAAATATTACCAAATTGTAAACATACAAACAAATTGCATAACTCTGAAAATATTTCATTTATAGCTACTTTTGAGCACAGTCATCACTTAATTGAAGTGATTTGTTTGTGTGTGTGTTCATCAACAAATACTTAAATTGTAGCTCGTATACTTTTCATGTTTCTAAGTGCCCTAGAGATGTTCAGAAAGAAGTGAAATTTTGCTTCTCAATCGTTGAATATAGGTACATTCCGACCAACAAATGGAATAGATCAATATCCGTTAGGTGCTAGTGACATCATATACTGCCACTGCAAGTGAGGCGCAACACGGTTATAAAATGACAACTGCAAGAGACATTGATTTTTAACAACTTGTTGTAATCAAGAGTGAAACGGATGGATGAGAAAAGGCAGAGTGCATAAAAAAAATTAAAATATGTGTACCATGATAAATCTTTATCACAAAAACAAATGTGTGAGTGGGTTACAGTGTTCGAAATATGAACACAAGTCAGGTCAGTCACAAATTGAATTGAATGATGAGACAATCACAAAAGTTGACAATACGATAAAAAATTACAAACAACAAATACGTATCAATGAGGTTGAGAATACGGGAATCATCTATCATGTCTACACAAAGTACCCGTTAAATACATACGGCGCATTTCCTCCATGACTTAGTGAGCTTCATCATAAAAATTTGATAAAATGCAGGTGTGGTGTTACGAATCCAGTTGATTACAACTACTTTCATATAGACTGAATACTGATACTCATTCAATAAACTGTGTCACTGACACAGATTCCTCTATATCCGATATGACTGGCCTGCAGGGAATAAAATATCGTTAATTTCTATACACCCCCGTATCAACACTTAAAATATATATTGGAAGAGAGAAAAATATTGAGTGTATTACCGCTTTTTAGTACTTTTTTGGACGATAACATAAGTTATGAGAGGGTTTTTATGACTCCATAAACTTAGTTACAATTCGACTTGTACAACATTCAGTTTTACGTTTCTGATAAAACTGAAGGATTCCAGTAAAACATATTTGGCTAAAGAATTATTTAAGAAAGAAATTGAACTTTACATTTACAGTTTGATTTGTGGTAATTTAGCAATTATCCGTTTTTTTTTACGTTATGATTATGCACGCGTACATTTTGGCGGAGAGTACACAATGAAAATAAAAAGCAAACTGATTTTTGAAATCAGTTTGGTACCATTACTTGACAGCAAAAAAAATGTTTAATGGTGCAGAATAACTTTTCGAAGTAAGACCTATTTAGGGATTCATAAGCGCCACCTATCAATATATTTCAATTCACAAAATATAAGTTCGCCCAAATTAAACACATTTCGTAAGGTAAATATTAGGCAGGTCTGATGAAGTTTTGATGATCTTTCTTCTTCTTTCTGTTCACATGTATTCAGTGTTAACTTGCTGTACACAATACTACATGTTTTCACTGCTAATTTTATATATGTGTGTGTATATATATATATATATCACGATCGGGAAAGTTTTAAGATTTTGATAAACAAACATATCAACAAGCTTGTAGCACGTACAAAAGGCTTAGTTTCCCCAGAAAAATTTTCCTTACAGGGCATTATTCTCACCAACTCATAAATGTTATATAGTATAAGTTGAGAGAGAGACAGAGAAAGCTGAAGAGGTTGTATGAGTGAATTGAAGAGAGTTTATTTATTTAGTAGCCCGAATTGATTCTTCCCAACTGTATGACCTCCACACGTGACAGAATAACCTACCCAAACAAAGTATTCATGCGCCACCTAGGTAAACATGTCTTATGATAAAGAAGTCTTTCGATAAATGTCTTAATATAAGACAGGTCTTGTTAAATATACCTTGTGTTCAGCATGGTTTATATTAAGAATGTTTTATGTTAAACGATGGATAAAATTCTCTTATGTAAACACTCCTTTCGTTAACAATTCTCATGTTAAACATGCCACTTCTAAAAACGGTTTAAGTCAAACAAGCATTCTGTTAATCATGACTTATGATAAGCCCGTGTTAGGGTAATAAATTTTGTGTTGATTATCTATTATATTTCCTGTTTTTATGCAGAATTTTTTGTGTCTTATAACAAGCATACTTTATCTTAAACATGATTTTCGTTAAACATGTCATATATTTAGCATGCCTTAAGCTAAAAACTTCTTATTTCAAGCAAGGTTTATGTTAAACACATTTCATGACCTTCTTAATTCATTTGCATTACACTCCGGTGATTTGGTTTGCTTTAACTCTAAAAACATTTGTATCTAGTTGTGCAAAATAAAAGATTATAATTTTTTGAAGCTTTTAATGTGGACTCGTAAATATCAACTATATTAGGGTAAATATACTTTAGTGTATATATTTACAGAAACAAATTTTCCTCAAAAATAATAATAAAATTTATCGCATATACTAGAACATTTTCATCCAAATAGTTTATGTTTCAAAAGTGACCCCTTAAAACTTTAATAACTTTGATAGGTTGAGGACATTCTAAAGACTAAAACAAAAAATAAAAATCCTTAGGAGCTTCAAGATAAAACCAATACCTTTAACATGGTTATATTGGAAGAAAGACGTTAGATTTTGTATACATATGGAACACAACAAAATATGAAATATCACTAAATTAGGTATTATTGTCATTTGAGTTTATGGTCAATTCCTTTGCCTTTTTGTTGCTTAAAACACGTTATTTTACTTTGAGGAACTGACTAGGCAACCCCATTAATCGTTACTAAAATCTAGTCTTAATTCAAAACCAATATGAAATTACTTTTTATTCATTTGGATGTACTTTAACATACTAATAATTTTTAAGTAATTATTGCTCATTAAAACTATAATAAACATTCCAAATGATCGGCTAATTTGGAGTCTACTATACAGTTAAAATTGATTTTCCATATTACACACCTTTTTTTGGGTTTTTAAACGAACACAAATTGTCAAGTTTCTTTATTATTAAATTATCGCTTTATTAAAGGCACATGACAAATTTAATTACGAATTTGCAATCTGATCTCATATGATTTCAGCTTTATGTCCTATGGAAGGAATATATAAGGCACTCTTTTTTTTAATTTACAGCTAACAGTTGGGGTTTTAGCTGTTCTTTTAATTTAGTCAATTGGTACTTTAGGAGTCACAAGATGGAAAATGTATTAGTATCATGCTGGAGAGATACTATTTTTTTTTCTTAATACAAACTGGCTGCGAGTTTCAAGAGAATATTTGTCGAGTTTCCTTCAAAGCTGCAATAACTCCACAGGTATCGTCTACACTGTCCTGTTGAGAAGAATTGATATCGGACCCTGGATGCATGGAGCAAGGATCTCTGCTGGGAGGCAGACGGTCATCCACTCTGTAACTACCACTGAAGGAATCCGGCTGAGAATCTGGATTGGTGAAGTTTGGAGACGTCTGGCTATCATAGGATCGTTGAAAATTGAAATCGAGATTATAATCATATGTCCCATGGTACTCAGTTGGATATAACGTCGAACCCGAAGAACCGATATCCGGATAAGACGACATCAGGTTGTCTTTTAATCCTGTATCCATATCTATTATACCCGAATCTATGCAATCTTGTCGAGAGGAGTAGCCGCCGATGGGTACAGAGTATCGAGGAAATCGTGGTGATGAAGTCTTTGGTCGGGAATCCAAAGCTTGCCCTTGTTGCAACGAAACATTCTCAAATGTGGAATAAGGTCCTTGGTTGCACATGGAAAGGAAACTGGTTTGACGCTCCAGTGCACACGATGGACGATGTGTGTCTTGAGACAACTTGATCATTGAAGAAGACGGACTTCTTGCAGAAAATGAATAAAAACCTTGTTGAGCTGATTGCTGAGTAACTGCGTTACAATAATTAGAGTTTTCCATTATAACAGCAGAAAGATTAGAAGTGGGGCATGTCATATCTAGCTCTCCTCCTTCGCAAACTCGGTTTTGAAAAGGAGGTTTAATTTCGTGTAAAAAAGAGGAGGAGTCACTAAATTTGGCCATTAGCTGACCAACTGGGTTCCTCTTCTTAAGCTGCTCCTTCAGGGCATAATGAAAAGCAAAATTATCGACTTCCATTTCGACAGGAGACATTTCTGGTGTTGGTAAAGAGCGGATAGTATCAAGACCTACACTGCTTTTATTGGACGAATCAGTGTTAACTTTGATGCCAACTCTACGACTTGGAATTTCGGAACAAGGACTTCCACGAGGGGAGGAATCGGGAGTCTGCACACCGTCTAATTCATTGGTTGTTGGGGGACGGGACCCTATTGAGACAGCGGTTAGACCAGTGGTAGCAGGATAGTATAAAGGATAAGTATTTTGGCAGCTTGATGCCCCCAATATGGATGGACTCTGAACTGATAAAAGAGGGTTGGTTCCTTTTCTAGCTCCACGTTTAGAATGCTGTTTCCGTCGACGCGGCCGATATTTGTAGTTTGGGAAATCATGCATGTGTTGAACACGTAAACGTTCTGATTCTTCCACGAATGGTCTTCTTTCCTGGGGTGTTAGATTGCGCCATTTCTTTCCTGTTACGAAAGAAAGGAAGAATAATATATGAAGTTTATTAACATTCCCGAGACAAATCATTTATCTTTTTCTAATGCTAATAATATAGCATGCACGGAATTATAATGAAAACACATTATTTAATACAACAATGTTGACTAAATTTTAGGTTATAAACAATAATAATGCCGAACAATTTAATTCATAAACTTATATTTGACATCAATTTATGAACTACAAGCTGAAATACCAGTCAACTGACGGGAAATGTTTAAACTTAATTAAAACAATGTAAGTTTAACAGCAATCATATATTTGAAAGTAATAATTTGAACATAAATTTTGTCCCAAAATTTTAGAATTATAGCAAAGCTTTTTTATAAACAATATCTGCAGTTTGCTGTCCATCTACCAACAAATAACGATTTTCAGGTGATCACACACTGGAATACCCTACATCTCTTTGACCATGAGAAAAGCATGGTTGTTTGAGAAACACTCCAGCAACTTTCACACTTTGACCTTGAATCCCTTTAAAATATTCAACATTGTCTAAAGCGGCAACCTGCCAAGATTGTTTAGAGAATGACTCAATAGGCTGAGAGTAATTAACCAACAGACTTTACAAAATAGAAATAGTGTTAAATTCAATTTTGATCTCCTTAGGACATTTCCCATAGTTCACAGTGTTTACGTACAAAATTTGGTTGAGATTGGCCCAGTAGGCTCGGAGGAGTTAGGGTGCAAACAAACACAGATTTCGTGTTTATATATATATATATATATAGTAACGACGCATAGCTTAATAGAAAATGTACAGGTAATACCTGTTAATAAAAGTTAAATGCTCATGACAAAATGTTCTTAAATAAAGAAATGCCAAACTACTTTATGTATAATAACGCTTAATAGAAAATGTACAGGTAATACCTGTTAATAAAAGTTAAATGCTCATGACAAAATGTTCTTAAATAAAGAAATGCCCAACTACTTTATGTATAATAACGTTAACCACATAGTGTATAGTTGAGGAATGCATGCCCTCATTACTTTATAAATAATAATAATAATGACACTCTTGGATACAACACTGAATAATCAGCATCATTTAGGACTGTTTCAAACCTGCCTTATACAAAGATGCATATTCAACCTTATTGTGTAGACAATAAAAACGACTCACTGTTTCATAGAAATTATGACAAATCCGAGTTTATGACAAATAATAGTAAAGCCCACAGTTGAATATAATGGTATTAGTTTATCATTAATAATAACGTCAGTGTTTAATACAATGATGTATAGTTGATAAGTATTGTTTCTTGGTACTTCTGTATATATATAAATATAATAGTACTGTCTGTT